TTATGTGGGGGCAAGGGTGGGAACACAAGAGTCCCCCCCCCCCCCCCCCCATGCTGCAAAAGTGCTGGTGCAATTTCATCTGTTCCCGCTGACTTAAATGGTCTAAAAGTATTCAGTGCCCATCTGATTTTTGATTGGTTAATTATGACTTTGGCTAGGTTCTAGTCTGCCCTGTTCGTCTTGCTTTGGCAAGTGTCCAGGTTTTGCTGACCCTGTCCATCATCCAAATTATCAATCAATTTTGAATCAGGAAAGTGAACCCTGAATAATTTGTTCAGTATCTCCCTTCCTGTTTGAGTATACTGCCCATTAAGCAGCTTAATCGTGCTGACCTTATTGGTCACCTGTTTTGCCATGATTCTCATGAGTCTGGCACTGCCTGGTACATCATTGATCTCCTGGCAGTGCCTCCTCCATGAGGACACTTGGCTTTCCTTATTTTTTGTTGTAACAGGTAAGGGCTTCCTTGTATGTAGCACGTCCACAAAGTAAGTTTCCCACTCGTCCCACAGCTAGCAAACCTTATATTGCGCAAAGTGACTGTGCTTACGTGATAGAGCAATAACGTAGCATGGTGCATGCGCTAACGGAATTTCCCGCATTCCCATAGTAGCATCATTGCAGCTGTTGAAGATGGAGGCTCTTATTCCAGCTCCCACCGACTGTGAAATGCGGTCAATGATAAAGTTTTTGAATGCACAGAGCATAGCGCCAATCGAAATTGATTGTCACCTGTGTCGGGTCTATGGGCATAACATCATGAGCAAGCAGATGGTGCTTTGCTGGTGCAGACAGTTTTCAGCAGGTCGACAAAGTGTGCATGATGAGAAGCGCAGTGGGCGGCCATCTGTCATCACCCCAGAAACCAAGCAGCAGTCAATGCATTGGCGTCACAGTGGATCTCCCTGTAAGACGAAATTCATGCAGACGTCGGTGCAGTAAGTAATGTGCACCGTATTCTGGGANAGATGGTTGTCACACAGTGGTGCCAATCCCAGGTGGCAGACTTCTATGACACAGGTATTCAAAAGTTGGTCCCACGGTATGACAAATGTCTCAATTCCGGTGGTGATTATGCTGAAAAATAGCTGAACACGTGCTGTATCTGTAGCAATAAATATTTCCATGAAATTGTGTTTTGTTTCTGCAAATGGCCCCAGGGAAACTTACTTTGTGGACGAGCCTTGT